TTTTTTTTTTTTTTTTCATTCATTTGGTAAACACAAACAAGTTGGTAACTATCACAACATCACAACCAACAAAAACCGACAAAAAAATCAAAGATCTCGGAGCTGCCTGAGATTCATGGGAGATATGTATTTTGTACCACCATCCATCAACTGTTTTGCGATTATAACATTAGCCGCTTCACTTGGATGGTAAGGATCCCAGAAGACATGCTTATCCCGGTCCGAACACATACTCGACGTCGGCCCGCATGGGATTATACCCGCAAATTGGCCGCCATTACCACAACAAGCTCTACTTGCACTAGTAAATCCTGCAAAACATTTACATCAACATTCGAATTCTTCGAAAAGATAAAAAAGAAAACAACGAAAATTTACCATATTTGGCATAATTTGTGATGAGTTCCATGACAAGATCGTAGACGTTAGCATGGACAAACATAGCTCCATCTAAATTCCCATTTAACTCCTTCAGAAGGTCCCTTAATCTGGCATTATACTGAAGTGCAAGCTTATTTGGTAATGAAACACACTCATTTTCACTTAGCTGATTGATAGTTTTCTGATAAGGAATGCACCCAATTGGCCCCACATTTCCCACTACAAATTTCCTTGCCCCCAATTGATAAAGCCTCTGCAATCAAAATATTATTATTTTTTTTGAAAAATAAGACATAATTATTAACAAGTTGCTATACGGACGGTTACAAACCCGACGAAATGGTTCCGTAACGGGACCTTAGCATTTCTCGAAATGTGATTACATATAATTAATTCAAGAATTTAAAATGAATTGATCATATTTGCTGACCTTTAATTGTCCTCTTAGATGGTTAATGAGGTCATCCACAAAGGCATCAGGGCTCTGTCTTATTCTGGCACCCATTGAGATAACAGGCAAAAGGTAATTGTTGAGAAAATCATTGGAACCTACAGTGATGGAGAAGATTGAGTTCTTAGCAAGGTATTCTTTTGCCTTTGATGCCCCCAATAATCTGTCAATCTGTTTCCTTGTGATGTTGAAATAATCAATCTGAATGTCCATTGAAAGCCTGTTGACGAATATACTTCCGGTGGCGTTCATGATTCCCCCTCCACCGGAGGCATAGTTAACGCCGTACAATATGGCTCTTCCGGTCGTATTTGGGGCAAGAAACGGCTGCGCGTAGTGTGGCTGGCCTAATTCTTCCCCTGTCGTAGCAAAAACGAGGTACGAGAATAAATTCAACTCTTATCCATGCGACTTCATAAATATCCGATCTTTAAACGAAATGAGATAACAAAGACGCACACGAGTCTTTACGCAGACACTTTAATCGAGTAAAATTGACACGAGTTAATATATTAATCAACTGATGTTGTATAAAATAAACTTACTATACACACCACAAACTACATAGTATAGCATGTTTGAAAGATTACGAGATTTTCGCACGTCACTGATGGACACATCTTAATGTGCCCGAAATCGATAGACTGACCAGCTAATCATCTCTGGCGTGAAATTTGTACTTACCAACAATGTCTCCAATTGTTCTTCCGTTTGTGTACCGGCCGGTCGGACTCCCCCCGGATGCTTTGAAATCGATACCGTTCGGGGCAATATTAGCCTTGGACAAAGTTTGTAAATAGTTATTGTTGCCCGCATCGACTAAAGAATCCCCAAATATAAACGAAGCTCCCTTGGTCAAATCATCGTCATTTTGGGAAACTCCAAATGAGCTTAATTGCAAGGAGCTTATGATAATTATGGACTTGGCCAAGGCCAAAAATTGATGAAATTTGAAGGCCATATTTGGTGCAGACATAGCTACAAGGCACAAATCAAATGACACATTTATAAGTGTTTGAATGAATTTTAAGTTGAAAAGATTCAACTAATTGTTGAGAAACTTGTATGAATCACAAATCCATTGGAAATGCGTTTTGGTTTGACCCTATATTCTTGTGAAGTTGGTGAATTTTCTTATGTTAGGCCATCAGTCTTGATATATTTGGGCTTTCAGTCAATCTTGTTTATCTAACACACACACACACACACACACACATATATATATATATATATATATTTAAATTTAAATATATATATATATTTAAATATCAATATTTGATTTCATATGTGTATTGCACGAGCAGAAGCGTTAGAATTTATTAATTATTTTGTTATGCTGTTTTGTTGAACGAACCTTCACTATAAAAGATGACAAGAAAATTTATTTCTTTTTTATTGTCTTACTATTGACTCCTATTGCTCAAAACTGATTATTCTATAATTTCTTTTATTTGTATCAATCGTTTTTTTTTTTTTTTTGGAACTAATGAAGAACTTTAGTAGTATCAAATCAAAAATTTGAAATTAATGTTGTGTCAATATCTAATTATCCTTTAGCAATTTAATATTTTAAATAAAATAATTAAATTTAAATAATCACTTGATAATAAGTATTTTTGTCTTGTTACTATTAAAAACGCGATTTTTTTGTAGAGGTGTTGTTCGCCAAACTGAGTATCTCATGTTCGAGCTCATGCTCGTTTAATAAATGAGTAAAACGTCTGGCTCAATTAATAAACCTAAATGTTTAAAGGAGCTTTTCAGCGGAGAATATCTGTGTCTGAACAAGTTTGGCTCAACCGTTTCATTTAAAATTCATAATAGAAATGATAAAAAAAAAAAAAACAACAACAACAACAAGTTGTTCGTGAAGAAATTCGGCTCGACTCTCTTAATAAAGGAGCTCGATTAGTTATTTGAGCGTAGCCCGTTCGTTGATTTAAACTAGCCAAGCTCAAACTTTCACATGCGAATTGTTTTGTATTTTCGAGCAATTTGATTCGCTTAACTTTAATTCATCACTTAAAGCCCAACAACTTACTTTTCGTTTTAAACTGGCTATGTTACAAGAGAAAACTAGTTATCATCCTGTGCACATGCACAGATGCACATAAAATATTATAAGTAATATGTGTGAATTCAATATTAAAATTATAGATGACAGACATATCACATTTTCAAGATATGTGAACTTAATATTAAAATTCTAGATAATAAACATATCACATTTTCAAGATATGTGAATTTAATATTAAAATTCTAGATAATAGACATACCACATTTTTAAGATTTAATCATTAGTAAAAAATAAAATAATATTTATATAAATTATTTGAGTACATATCACTATATTGATTTAAAAAAAAAAAAATTTGTGGGTAATGTAATTTTTATAATTTGGAGGGATCGTGGTCAAATAATTTACTTGAAAACTTTATTATTATTATTATTATTATTATTATTATTATTATTATTATTATTATAAATATAATTATTACTATTCTTATTTGATTCTAAAGTTTTTTTACTGTACTATTAAAACTATTTACTAATTGTTTCTAAAGAAAATTGTTTCATAAAATACAAAATTAAAATAATAATAATAATAATAATAATAATATCATTCATAAAACCTAATTAAGTGTAATCATGTATTTATAAAACCTAATTAATAAAACCTCATTTATTTTCCCTCCAAAAGAAGTTACAAGTTTGTCATTCATATTTTGCCTTTCACATGAATACACCCTATTAAGTGTAGTCATGTATTTTTTTGCTATTATATTATATAATAGTTAATGCTATTACCAAATCATAATATTTCACACTAAATATAAATTACATAAGTATAAACAATTTTATTGTTTCAAGATATTATTATTATTATTATTATTATTATTATTATTATTATTATAATTATTATTATAATAGTAGTAGTTAATGATATTTTTTTTGCTATTATATTAATAATAGTTAATGCTATTAATTTTTTTACATGATTACACTTAATAAGGTGTATTGATGTGAAAGGCAAAATATGAATGACGAATTTTGTAACTTCTTTTGGAGGGAAAATAAATGAGGTTTTATTAATTAGGTTTTATTTATGAGGTTTTATTTAATGATTAGCTAGCAATTATATATATATATAGATTACCCATATGTGTGCATATTGTGTGGATATATGGTAAATTTTTATCCCTTCTACACGATTCAAAAGAAATTATAACTCTACTACATACATGCAATTAATTGTGATTTTACCTAAAAAATAATATTTATCTACATTAATGCATAATGACAGTAACCATTTAATTCTAACCACTCTCCACGTACATTTAATTTGCCTGATTCAGTTACCATATCAATTCATCTTTCTCTTTTAGTTTTTCTCTCTTTAGTTTGCCCGTGATTTGCGTCTATTTGCTAAAAACAATATTTTCTGAATTATATTCTGAAACATATATACTATACATATATTGTACATATACCCCAACATAGCACAAAAAACAATAAAGGCGAAAATATACTGTTATAAACCATAAATACCAAAAATATACTGACATATATTGTACATATACCACAACATATATCGAACATATACTGAATATAAACACATATAACATGGTGGACGTCACAAAAAAACACGATACAATATGAGGGGATAAAAAATATACCAAAATATATTGAATATAAACCATACAAAGGTAGAAAAAAATCACACACACAAAACACCAAATCCAGACGAAATCATTGATCAAAACAGTAAAAATAAAATATGAAATCAGTTTTTTAGATTCGACGATTTGATAAGCCAGGCCAAGAAAATTTACTGTTTTTTGCGCTTCATGATTTGATAAGCCAGGCCCAAAAAACATGAAATCAATTTTCTTCACCATGTAAACTTAAATTGCTTGAAACCCCAGTTTGTTGTACCTGATATGAGCATCCATTATTGGATTGTTTGATTCTGACGCTTCTTAATTTCTGGTGGAAGATTTGGGGATTCAAGCAATTTAAGTTTACATGGTAATTTGATGAGAAGTTACGTGTAAATAGGAATGAGAAGATCATATAAATAGGAAATAGTTTTTTAGGTATATATGCAAATAAATATAAAAAATTTAGTTAATTTAAAAATAATTATATAGGAAATATAATGGCGCAATTATATATATACTTAACGAAAATAAGAGATTTGCAAAAATATCATGGGTTGTTATAATATTGCATTCCTAAAAAATTTGGTTAAAATAATTGCATATATGCCAAAATTTAGTTACCATATGTGAAAAGTTGTAACTTATCATTAATAATGGGATAAAAACCAACATGGAAAGTAATTAAATCCTGAAAATAAGGAAGGTGGTTGAGTGGAATTAGGAAAGATACAGCTTTTGAATTCCAAATATATACATAAGATATACAGAAAATATACAGACAATATATAAGTCCAGAAAATATATAAAATAAACCAGGTAATTTTATCTCTTCGTAATCCTTTTTTGTGTTATTTACATCTCGTGTATTTTCGGTATACTTATAGTATATTTTATGGTTTACTACATGCAACATACAATATTAGACTTATATACAAAAAATATACACATTATATACGGAGGACATGAATATAAAAACACGAGATAAATCAATCTTGTCATTATATACAAAATATATACAATTGTATATATTGTGGTTGTAGTCAATATATAATAAAAAAATTAAGTATGGGCCAAATGAGAAGCACGCCGACGGAAATATATAGACGCAACATATACTGCAAAAAAAAAAAAAAATCTCTCCCTTTTATTCATCGTCCCTGTAAGCACGCCATCAATGGCCATATCCTCGCGGAGCATCATCGGTAGCAACCGTCGCATAGATCATGGGCATTACCAGGGCGGAGTTCATCTTCATCGCCACTCGGATAAAGCCTGACACTCTCAACCTTGTTGTCGGCTAATTGGGGCCGCCTTCCCCAAGCTTAATTGGAGGGCTAGCGTCGGCGAACCGCTATCTCCGAT